AAATATTGCCAAATTTCTGTGTTTTTGTCCCTCTCCGATTGCCTTCTGGCTGTTAGTGCTCTTACACAGTAAGTTTATCCTGCATCTCTCCAAATTCTTTCTCCTTTACATAACCACAGTTACATCTATAAGACTGCTTTGCAATGTCTAAGCCTTTCTATTCTGATCTGATTACTGAAACAAGATGGTACATCGCCATTCTGAATGTGCAAATATGGATGTCTCTACACATTTATCAGTCTCTTCAAAGCCATACTCCATGGAAACTACTCGTGGTCTGCAGGATCCAGCTATTAGGCTCACCAGTCTTGCACAGTCTAGCCTAACATTTTCAAAACATATCTGGAAATCTCTCAAGTAATCCTTGGTGCTTACTGATTAATCACGTGTTTATAGATCAAGAATGCATTTCTGTCATCACTTAAAATGCATATAATGCCTAAAATCTAGTGATCCTAAGAAAGTAGAAACAGGTCCACTTTTCTTGCAAAAATTCCAATTACTTGCAAATAACTACAATCTTCCTTCTATTTACTGTTGTAATATGGTAATAATAATACATTGGAGTCCCTGAAGAGTACAGACCATCCTTCTAGGGAAAAATCCCACTACCTATTGATTGGACATGGTAATAAGAAGCTTAAGGCAGTATTTATGGGGAAGGATATTAATAAAATGAATATAGCACCAAGTAAATACACTGAGGGATTTTATTAGCTCATGGCAAGATAACCTTTTCAAGAAATTATACAATTCTCAAATCAACAGCATAAAAAGTATTATCTAAAGACACATTTCAGCTCTATATTTGTATGAATAAAACTTGGGAATTATCATATTTGAATTCATGGGAAAGAGACTATTTTGTTTAAAATATCAATGATTATTTCGAGAAAGTGTATGAATGTGCCACCCATTTAGATAAACACCGCCTCTCCTTTGTAAACGTTCAGTTCTAAAACATCTCTGTATGTGCGAAACTACGCACTATACTGAATGAATCACTAAATGATAAGCCAACATTTGTGTGAATCTTACTGATTCAACAGCTCTACTATAGCTATACTTAGCAACTGGTTTTAAGCCATTTTAGTTGACTTTCCACATTGCAAGAATGCTCTTCAAAAATTCTGGATGATAATTTCCTTAATTTCCGGCCATGTTAAATTTTACCTAGGGGATTTGCAGTCCAAAACATCCAGAAGGAATCAGATTGCCTCACCTCACTTTAAATTATTTTAGCTTGTTCTTATGCATATTAAAATAAGAGATGCAACTGTTTTAATGGAATTTATTTCTAAACATATAGGATTGCTATCTACATGTAAATGTCATTTGAAACAAAGCTCTATGGTACTTTCAGAGGCTTGCTTCTTTCTAAACAATTCAAAGGATCAACTAAGTAGTTAGACCACTGCCAACACCCGCCCCCCCCAAAAAGCAGAGAAGAAATGAAGTGTAACTTCTAGAATTCTTTTTAATCCCCTCTTTCCATATTTCTGTTATTCCTTCACTATATTTATATATATCCTGCAATGCAACAGTGATGCTAAAATGCTAGCATTTTAGAACAAAATAACTTTAGATAATGTAACTATACAAATTTGGATAAACAGAGAGCTTCAAGTGTAACAAAATAGTTTTACTTATGTATAGACAAATCACTTGGAACAACATGACAATTGAATGTCACATAGTGAGATTCCTGCTACGTAACCTCTGATTTCTTTAACATTTGCCTTGGGAGTAAGTAACCTGTTCCTTGCACAGCAATTCTGTACAAAAATAAAAAGTATTCAGAACTGCAACCTAAAACTAACATAAATGACATCAGGTATCCATATTGAGGACATGATACTCACAGACCTTAAAGGTTATACCTAGCAAACTGTGGAATGTCTGCAGTAGCCCTTCAAGCAAGGAAGGAAAAACCAAAACCCAATCATGAGTCTCCTGTAACAGTTTAAAAAGCATGATTTTATTATATTTGTACACCAAAGCTTACCCCTTTTAGAATTCCACTAATTTCAACGGGGCAGATTCAAGAAACATGCTTAGTATTCTCACTGTAGTCAGTGGGGCACAGATGCTTAATGCTAAAAAAAATTATCTTTCCCATCTCCCCACATGTATCTGGGCAGAACAAAAACCTTAGCATACAAAACTGTATTCTACAACATATTTTAAAATATGAAAGTTATGTTATATAGACGTTGTCTAGGGCAGGGGCCCCCAACCTCTAGGCCACAGACTGGTGTCAGTATGTTACCTTGGCAGGGCCAGGCCACCGGGACAGATGAGCCGCAAGCAGGAGGTGAGCGGAGAGCAAAACTCCGCCTCCTGTCAGCATGCTCCTATTAGGTTTTAATGTCGCTGCTGATCTGACAGGAGGTGGTACTTTGCTCCATGCTCCCCTTCTGCTACTGCTAGATTAGCTGTGCCTATGGCATCAGAATCTAATACCGTGTTTCCCCAAAAATAAGACAGGATCTTATAAAATAATTTTTGCTCCAAAATGCAGTAGGGCTTATTTTCAGGGGATGTTGTATTTTATTTTCATGTACAACAATCTACATTTATTCAAATACTGCCATGTTATCTTCTTCTGGTTGCTGCACAATGGTGGAGGGCAGGGTTTCGCTTAACTGGGGCTTATTTTTGGAGTAGGGCTTATATTACGAACATCCTGAAAAATCATACTAGGTCTTATTTTCAGGTTAGGTCTTATTTTCGGGGAAACAGGGTAGGAGCCTGTACTATTAGGTTCTAAGCCGCTGCTGATTTAACAGGAGGCGACCCTTCAATTGCTGCTCACCTCCTGCTTGCCATTTCCTTTATGAGCTCAATTCAAAGCTATCCTCCAATAACCTACTGCATAACAAGTCCCCCCCCCGGTCCGTGGGAGAATGATCTTCAACAGAGATGGGGGTATTCATATTTGTATACGAATACCTCCCCCATAGCTGAAAGTAATGAGGGTCCACTCACACATCTGCTGGTGGCTCTGCTCCCCCTTCCAATGGCTCCAGAGCTCCATGGTCAGTTATCTACTTGTCAGCCTGGCAGGGAGATTCATCTTCCCTCCTTCTGCCAGGGATGGACAGCCAAAGAGGAGATCTGGAGCGACTGGAAGCCACTGCTGGCGGACGTGTGGATGGAGTATTCGTATACTAATACCCCCATCTCTAGTCTTCAACTAAACCAGTCGTTGGTGTCAAAAAGATTGGGGACCACTAAACATTTATTAATCAACAGATCCTGCTTTGGATATGGTATTACCTTGCAATACTTCAAAATAGCACTTTCCCCTTTCACGACAGTAGTGGTAACAGCTTAAGAATCATGCTTGCTTTCAGTCTACTGTTTTGGTTCACTGAGTGTTCAAGATGTTTCAAATGTCCCACAATATAGGATGCAGATTTAATCCCGTTTAGAGCAGATCCAATGAAAACAACAGGCATCAGTTAGTCATAATTAACTGAAGTTCCACAGATTTCAGTGGCTCTACTCTCTAAACAGGGCTAAATCTAGATCTAGCTCTTATTGTTTATGTGATTGGAGTGGGATGGGGGTTGGAGGGAAGTGGCTCGATCTTACCAGGGCACCATTTTGAGAGGCAAGAGCTGATCACCACTGCTGCCTTTTAAATACACCACTCTTGGCCTACCTCTTTTTATTAATAAATTCATGTGGACTAGTAATGGGCTGGCTTTCCCAGGACTGACCCCAGATATCCACCCCCCGGGGGGGGGGAATCCGCCAAAGAGGATCCCAGCCAAGCGTCCGTTGTTAAGTGTGTCACGGCTCCCTCAAGATCCCGCCCCGGGAGGGCGACCCGCCTTTCTCTGTGGTGCCTCCCCGCCCTGCCTCGCAGCTGCAGCTGTCGGGGAATTTTCCTCCGCCGCGCTGCTGCTGCTGCTCCTCCCCTCCTATTGTGCAACAGTCACGGGCTTCTCTCGAGGCCCCGGGGCCTTGTTTACAAATACCTCGCCGCCAGTCCCCGCACATCAGGCGAGGCCTAGCTCAAGACGCGCCCCGCCGAGCCTAGGCCCCCTTCCCCTCTGCCAGGAATGCGGAGGAGCAGCAGCACCGCCAGCTAGCGGGCAAAGGGCCTCCCTCTCCCTTCTCCCAAGCCCCCCGCGTCAACTTTCCCGCCCCGATTGCAACCTAACCCTCCCTGCACGTCCACGCTCCGTGCCAGCTGGTTCCCCTTTTTGGACGGACGAGCCACGGGGGCCAAAGAGCCGGGGCCCGCGCAGCCCGGCCGCCATAAGGCGAGGGAGGGCGACCCTCACGCGCCCAGACAACCGCGCCTCGCGCTTCTTGCAAGCTGTTACACATACACACACACACGCCAGTCCTCTTGTCACAAGCCCGGGCCTGCTCCAGAAGGGCCGTGACTCCCGTCCGTCCAATGAACTGAGGCTTCCTGCTGACTCTACACGCCGTTAAGGCCGAGTTGACCTGCCGGGGCCGTCGCCTTCCACTTTGCAACAACCTCCCCCTGCCCGGCCTATTTGCACGATTATTATTGCATTGCATTCCTCGCACTGGTAGCAGCAATAAGAGCAAGCGCCCCCCCTATACACGCCGAATTGCATTATTATGGTGATCCTAACCTTCCTTCCCTAGACGCTCGCCCGCCCGTCCCCCCATGAGCCGCAGACGCTCCCTGAGGCGTCCGCGCCCCCTTTTAAAAGCGCTAACGAGGGAACAGCCGCCCAGGCACGCTCTCCTTGTCTCTTTCTCTCTTTTTCTTCCTCCTTCCTCCCCCCCCCAATCATCGCGACACTCCTCCTCTAGAGTTGCAAGCGCTGAACTCCGTGCCCGTTTGCTCGCGGTGCCTGCCCGCTGCCAGGGAGACGGATCGCAAGGAGCCAACACCAGGCGGCCCAGGACACGTCGACCAAGGCAGGCCCCAGGTGCATGCGTGTGTGTGCGTCCGTGCCCCCCCCCCCGTCCGCCCCGGGCTTCGCTTGGGCGTCGGAATTCCGCTTTACCTCCAGGAGTGGTGGAGAAAAGGGTCCCCCCGGGCGTGGTGCAATAGTCATGAGGTAGCTGCGAGGAGTCGCTGATGGGCACCGTCCTGGTCGGGATGGCGCGGCTCTGGCTCTGCTGGTGGCCGCCGGCGGAGGACATCGCCCTGTTCTATTGTCCCCGGGGTGGGAGGAAGGGGGGGAGGCAAGTGGCGGCGAGATGGCGGGGGAAGAAGCGCGGCGGCGGCGGCGGCG